CATACCGGTTACAATTTATGAATTAAAATAGGTTTATTCGAACCGCCGCTTTAAACAATCCACCTTAAGCCGTAATGTAACAGCCGCGAAAAGAACCAACTTTTCACACCAATCAATTTTTCGATCAATATTATATCACATAAATATATTTAGGATAATGAAACACATTTTATTTTTTCGATGGTTTTAAAGAGACGGTCGTATCAATTCGCCGTTTAAGAAACAATCACGTTTTTCCAGAATCTCGTCCATCGCGTTTCCAAGATAATCTCTCTCAGCCAGAAGTGGTTGATCGGTTAGACACATTTTATCTAGGCGTGCTAGAAAATCCGAGCACAATGTACACTGTTAATCGCTACTGAATCACGATGCATAAAAAATAAAACAAAAAATAGAAACAAATCAAGAGATAGATTAGAAAAAGGAAAGTCATCTATAATTAAATGCTCAGGCGGCACGTGCAAATAATTTTCAACGATATGAAAAAAAAAATAGAAAGATCGAAAGATAGAGGTAGTGATAAGTAAAGGGGAGAGAGAGCACGGTTAAAAAATACAACAAATAACTACTAAGTATAGACAGCAGGAAAACGTGTGTGTTTACCAGGGCGACGACTTACAATATCATCGATAGAACATACCATGGTGGCGGCGCGAAATTCGACTGTTTTCTTTTTTCTTTTTTTTTTTACTCTACTTAAGACACCGAGGTGTTACTCGACCGATTTCGACCCGAATCTCGCAGATGCGCGGCTTGCTTTCGAAAAGGATTTACAAACGAAAACGTGAGATCGACGAATCCAAGCCTCGTCGTCGATTTGACACACTGCTACGAGACGACGTAGCGTCGCGATAATATTCGAATGGGACGATATAGCGGTTGCGTGACCGATCGTGGACCGCGCCCCAGCCTGGCTCCAGCCAATCGTCGAGGACGCGTTTGCTGCCTCTTTAGCGGGACTTCGAAGCTGCCTCCGGGAAGGTGCTTGTGCGCTATTTCTGGGAATGTGTATCAGCGAGACGGTCTCGAGGCGGCTCCTCTTCGTCTCGTGTTCGCCTGTGGGATCCGGTAACGCCGGCAACTTTGACGTAGCGGAACGGACCTAATCGTTGTTCGAATCGATATCTTTTTAAGCCGGAAACACCCTTTTCCGATGCAAAGGCAAAGTTACATGGAAAGAGCAGTACTAAAAATTGAGATAGATATAAACTTTGTTGGACCATTGAAATAATTATGCTTAAGCACGATGAGTGTTGCTACAAAAAGTTTTGACATTCCAACAAGCTTGAGTCATATCCTATATGATTATTTTGATAATCCAACAAAATTATTCTTCGATCTGTATCTAGTTAACTGTTTAGATACTTCAACAAAACTATTCTTGACGTGTATAAAAGAGAAAGAGGAAAGAAACTGTTATTAAATCGGGGATGTAACTTGAAATTTGATAGATGATTGTGAAAATTTTAATTATGAAAAAAATCAATATTTGATCGAAGATACGATCTATCGATAAAAAATAAATAAGATACAGATGAAACGGGATACAGAGTTCCGATGGATTTATTTAACATAATAAATAGCTGTTAGAAAACTTCTAGTATCTTTTACAGAAATCTAATACTAGTCAATTTAATAGTGGAAGATAATGATTAATTATTTATTTTAAGTATTAAAAGCACTGTTGTTTAGTACTCCAAACAAGTAATTAATTACTTCCTGCATTATAATGATGTATAGATTTCTGTAAGGGATTTTAGGCACAACTCTAAGGAGTTTTTATTAGATTCTCGTATTCGTACGATTACAATCCTGCACAAACGTAGCGTTATACTACTACTGCAACGGTACGAAAATAGAGAATGAAAATCCCGCGGTTGGAGTAAGCGACAGTAAACCGTCAGTACGTATGGTGCACCGGACGAATCGGATGTCAAACTTGCTATTTGGAATCAAGACAAAAATTTTCACAACAATAGAAGCGAAAGCGACTTGGAACGAGAAATAACCGCAACGAGTTAAATCCTCCTTTGCAAAAAGGACAACGTAATAACGAATTCTTGAAAGCAGAATATATGCAATTATTTCATAAAGGATATTAATTAGAGTATTTTACTTGCTTTCAAGGAAAAGAAAATAATTATCCTTCCGAGTCAGTTTCGGACATTAGCGTGTAAAAATTTCAACTGATATTCTATGATTAAACAAAAATATATCAGAAAATGTGTTTCGCGATATATGCAATCATTGTGAGTTAAATCCTTCTTGAAAATTAAAAGATCAATTGATTTGAAATGTATTAATTGCAACATTTTACTTACTTAGAAGACAAAATAACAAATAAAATATCTGAATACATCGCCATAGAGTGTCTTTGCAACGATAAAAGTCTAGTTAAAAATAAAAAGTTTAAAACATTGGGTGCATTCAGAAGCGACGATCGCTCACTGAATAAAAAAGGGATTAATCTCTGATTAATATGTTTATTTATTATAATTCGTAACGTAGAATAACTTGTCTATTATAGATAATCTTTTATATCATATTTCTTACTTATTTATTACTGTTTATTATTTCTCTAATGCCGTGTTTGGACCGTAAGATTATGTAGCGCTCAGTGAGAGCGGTGGAGCGTCATTATAATTATACACGGCATTAGAGAAATAATAAACAGTAATAAATAAGTAAGAAATATGATATAAAAGATTATCTATAATAGACAAGTTATTCTACGTTACGAATTATAATAAATAAACATATTAATCAGAGATTAATCCCTTTTTTACTCAGTGATCGCTCAGTGAGCGATCGTCACTTCTGAATGCACCCATTCTTGCATATCTCTTATCATTTTGATAACATAGATGATTGAATTTTGTGTCCAAATACTAGAAATCGCTTCGAGATTTTGGCTGGAGAAAGAGTTAATAAATTGTAATTAACAATGTGATTAGTTATTTCTTTCTTCCATCCGAAATTTCAGAGCGATTTCTAGCATCGCGAATGTAAGACTTAGAAATATAAATCAATTTTTATTTAAGCTTTATGCTCTAAGGAAAAAAAGTTTTATTCCCTTCACGTGCATAAGAGCACTTATAAAAAAAGAATGCGTATCTTATTTTATCTATATTACAATATCTAAAATTCATCAAAATCGGAGAGGATATATTTGATACTTGATATGTTTTCTTATGAATCAGTTTCGGGTTAGCATTTGAAAATTCCGATTAATATCTTATGATTAAATAAAAAAATGCATTGAGATTTGTGTTTCTCAGTAGGATACATATGTTCTGAGATTACACATCTTCGCATACGTGTGCCAGGTAGATCTTTCCGGATACTCCGACATATGACGGGGATGAAAGATAGAATGCGAAGATACGAATGGACATTTGCCAAGTGAAAACTTCTGCGCGGACAGTGCTCTACGCGAAAACAATAAACAACCATCCTATATCTGAAATAAACTGAAGTACGGTCATTTATCATTATTTTTTTGAGGATGCGCTACACAAGTCATGACAGATCGAAAGTTATGCGGCTTGCGTTATATTGCGCTAATACACGTACTTCATTAGTATTATTCTTGAAACAAAAACACGATGTTTATTTGCTACGAAAATGACAGCTTCTATGCATTTCGATACATTTAGTCACTTTAATCTCACCGAGACACGCGTATGCAACGTTGGTAAATTGGAATCGCTCTCTTCTGCGACGATCTACTTAAGTAGTAAGATAAAAAATATTTTATACTCGAGGATATAAAAATAATGTAAAATGAAACAATCATTTTTATGTTTCAATATAATCACTTTTTATTACAATACTATAAAAAATTTAAAAAAACGAAATAATTTTTCTTGTGTGTGTGTAATTAAAATTTTATTGAATTTTTATTCTTAAAGTAGTTTAATGATAAAATTTGTTTTTCAAAACTAAAATTTAATTTATATGGAAAAAATCTAACAGTGAAACTATTTACAATAAATGATTTTAAGAACAAAAACTCAGTATATTTTTTAGTAGAATAGGAATTTATTGATCTAAAAAATAAACTATTATTTTTAAAAATTATAATTTAGAATTACAATTTAGAAAACGTAATATTTCTTCTTCTAATTATTTTCTTAGAAAAACAATTAAATATAAAATTAAATAATCACATTTTAAACTCAACTGATAAAAATCTATAAATAATACTTTTTATTTTATAAAATTTTGATGCAAAATTTGTATTAACGAGAATACAAAATTTTCAAACTCTAATCTCGATGGATTTGGCTATAGGAATATAATTGTTGATTTTTATCTGTAGACGAATTATATCACGAAATTCATTATTTCATTATATGCAAAATAAATGTAAGTATAAATATAAAGCATATGTAATGACCCAAGATAATTATATATCACATATTTGCCTCCGCATCTTTATAGGTTTACTAATATTAACAATCTTTTTTTTACAATAATCTCAATCTTACAAAAGATTAAAAAGAATTCAACTTAATAATGTAAAAGCCATTTTGCGCTTGGAGTTAAAAGATGCATATCGCCATCTGCATTACACTAGAAATAATATCTTTAATTCTACTTGTATGATTCATAGTCTTGCTAACTATATTAAGAATAGTTTTTATCTTACTGAAAAATTAAAGGATGTTTGTATTGAATTTGATTACATGCTTGTTTCATTAGATGTTGTTTCCTTATTTGCTAATGTTCCCGTAGAATTGGTATCTAATAGTATTACAAAAAGATGGGAATGTATATCCATGAAAACTAAAATACCTTTAAAGGAGTTTTGCTGTTCGTATGGTTTTAAATTCTACTTTTTTTATGTTTAACAATAAATTTTACAAACAAATTTAACGTTTGTACGAATATTAAATATTCTTTAAATTTTAATTGGCTCGTAGTCCTTCTTTTATTTATTGATTTATCACATATTTATTTTTGCATATAATTAATTAATAAAATCAATATGTGTATATAAATCTATAGATAAAAATCAACAACCATATACTCCCATAGCCTGCAAATATCCATCGAGAATAGATTTTGAAGATGTCTGCTGCGAATGTCGATAGAATGCCAGCAGAAATATAAAAATGTATTAAAATAAAGGGTGATTATATTGAAAAAGTTATCTTATTTTATCACTTTTTGTATCCTTTAACTGTAAATTTTTTTAACCTTATTATATATCATCCATATTATTGTGGATTCGATTGTTCAATTCTGACTTTTATTCGCAAATACGGCTTGTTAATACTTTTCCACGGAAGCTTCCATGGATGCCGGAGCTTCAAAGATGTTAGAAGGTTTGCGGGTTATCGCCGTGACGTGATCCATTGTTAATGCCATTAACAATGGATGATGACACGGCGATAACCCGCAATCCCTCTGACATTGTCTGAAATACGACTTATCTTACAAGAACGAGCAGTATGTAGAACTAACAAATATTAATTAGCTGGCATACGATCTATAATTCGCATCGAAATGTAGGATATTCTACTTGTTATATCATGTGTTAAAAATTAAAATCATAATGTATGCATACATAAAACATGAAAGTACAATATACATGTAAAAAAATTATAAATTTTGATCGATAGAAGCCCGTGTTTCAGCTTGCTTTTGTTTTTGAATTTGTTCTGTTATCAGCAAATCGAAGTCATCCAAAGGCGCACTTTCTTCCTGTTCATTCTCGTCATCTTTATCCATATCATTAGTGATCAAATTATCGTCCAAGGTAATCATATCCAATCGATATTTCTTAATAAACACCTGCAAATCTTTCTTCGTTCCTAGTTGCTCGACTCTCGTGAGAAAATCATCAAAATGATATTTGGGAAATAATCGATAGGACCAATGTTCCAATCTCTTCATGATTCTGTCAAGGTCTATTTTTTCGTGTCCCTTGCCATAGAATTTGAAGCCTTCGAAATACTTTTCGATAATTTGGATACCATTGGGGCCTGTCAGTCTTTCTGTGTTAAGTTTAGGCACAGGATTTCTCACTACGTGTGACTTAGACTTGGACTTTGTTGGATCGATTCTCCTTGCAGTTCCCGCCTCGTTGTCGGAAGTCACATCCTCAGCTTCTCTGCGGCTGCCAAGCTCGTCATCGGATTCTTGGTTCTCGTAATGCTGTATGATATCGTCGTCACCCTCATAATCTGGAATATCTGCCATGATGATGTGAAGTATCTATTTAATTTGATCACCGCTTAAGCAGATTTCTGAAAAAAATCATCAAATCATGAGGAAAACCTTAAAATGCAGTAACATTTCTTAAATCAGCAGTAATAAAATTCTTTCTTCTGATTGGTCAATCAAATAAACAATTGCTTCAAAGGATTTATAGCATTCACGTTGACCTCAAAGTTGTGCATAATGTTTATTTATAATCTTTTTTTTTATCGCGACAAAATCAATGCGGAAGGTACAGAGTTTCTCATATCAAACGGTATCAAATCTCTAAATGATTGATCTTTAAATGAGTAAATGACCTAAAAGTACAGGTTAGGTTAGGTTAGACTTACTTAGATGCTCAGATTTACAGGTCGTCCTAAAAATCGCTGTCGTCGTGCGACTCGCAACTTCCTCTCCCGTCTTCCATAAATTTATCAAACTGTCCGTCTGACTTTTTCATACGCTCCAAAACCGACACGAGCAACTTCTTATTCAGCCGATCAGTTTGCGTAATCTCTCGCACAACGGACTCGCACTTCGGTTCGTCTTGTGTCCGTTCGCTCTGCAGCTTCCCTAACACGTTACTGTCCCGCTCCATTGGAGTGCCAGGCATCTTTCCTCGTTGTTAAAGACGCTGTTTACAGATTGCGGACGATTATTATCAAAGATAATTGCGTGAATTACGAAATATAACACGAAATACCAGCAAGAAACGTCAAAATACTAACCGACTTCAATTAAGAAATAAAGATGACAAATCGACTAATCGATCTATCGACGACCATTCGTATCTTTGAAGTCGGATCGATTAATCGATTGTTACAAACAACTCTTTCTTTTTATTGAAACTCGCTAAATCGGTTAAATTTTAAAAACCTACAAAAATATTGTATGTATTTGCAATTGCAGACTAATAACGTATTGAACAATTGGATTTTGCTGTAAAATTATTTATATATTCCATAAATTATTTGTAAATAAAAAATTATTATAAAGTAATTGATAAAAAAGTATAAAATATTTAATATTGTATCGATTTTTTTCTACACGTCAAACAATGGTTGCGTTCAGCACTCAACAGTTTTGCAACTGTTTTATGATTCTTCGCTGAGACAAGATTATTCCTTTAAATCTAAAAGTATAATCCAATCAGTGCGACGAATCATAAAACGGTTGCAAAACTGTTGAGTGCTGAACGCAGCCAATGAAAAATTAATAATTCTATCAATGTTAACAAAAATATGATAATTTGTAAAATCCTTGATTGAATTTTCGGAATTTTTTTTTATATCCAATAAATTTTCAATCATCAATCGAGAACATAAATTTTTACTTCGTGACAATTTTATTTAATTTCAGAAACATCCTCAGAATATATGATCTTATTAATAAGAAGCAATAAAGTGGTAGCCATGAGCTAAAAAGAAGTGGAACCTTGACCGAGGATGAAAATGTGATCATTTTCCGTAAATAAAAGCCATACGCTGCACGTGACCGCGAGTATATTATTCGGATCAGAATCTCAGTGATTACGCGAAGAAAACAGGTGTCGCGAGGCCAAGATGTGCCAGGAAACTGATTTATGTCATGTTAGATTCAAAAACTAATAAAGCGGCGATCTGAAACTGGAATGAGCCAACTGTCCCCCAACGAGAGCGCAAATATCTCGAATACGAGTGCGCGTCCAAGAACGAGTATTTGATGAAATCGGGAATACGTTTGTCAGTAATTCCGAATCACTAAAATCTATTTGTTGTATACATAGGCGCCGACTACGGGGGGGACAGACCACTTTTTGCCCTCCCAATAATTTTATTGGGGGGGGGGGGGGCAATGTCCCCTCAATAATTTTTACTTTTTGGTTTTTTAACAAACAAACGGTATTTTAACAATTGCAAATAATTTCTGCAATCAAAAAAAACTGTGAGATAACTGTGAGAGACATCATATGACATATGTTATATATAACGTTGACGCGACGAATTAAAAGTGGTGATGCTCGCGCTGGCACGTCGTTTACTGTCCTAGGGTGCCTTCTAACAAGAGATGGTGTAATGACACGGTGTGACACATTGTGTCATTACATTCTTTTGTTCGCCAATGTTAAACAAGGATGGGACGATTATTGTACTGATTGTGAGTCGCTTGTTGAGGCGTGTTTTGATTTCCATTAGAGTGCTCCTCGGATGTCATTCCATCCTTGTTTAACGTTTGTTAAACGACAAGGATGATACGACACCCAGGGAGCATCCAGGTGGGAATCCGAATATGCCCCTAGAAGCCTGGAAGGAACCTCTGGTGTACCTGCACATGGACCAGAGAGAAATCTGAGAGAAGATATGAGTGCCTTTTTCCTGTAACCGCAAAATATCTTGTGCATTACAGTAATCTTCTGAAGAAGTGGATATCAACTACACAACATTATCCATTTTTTTTTGCGATGCTCTTGATGGAAATAAATCGTTAAAATCGTTAAAATTTTCACTAATTTGATAGATCTTAGTCATTTCGGCGATTTATTTCTATCAGTAGCACCGTTAAAGAATAAAAGTCAGAATTGGACAATTGAATCCACAATAATATGGATGATATTGATATATAATAAGGTTAAAAAAATTTACAGTTAAAGAATATAAAAAGTGATCAAATAAGATAACTTCTTTTTCAATATAATCACCCTTTATTTTAATACATTTTTATATTTCTGTTGGCATTCTATCGACATTTGCAGCAGATATTTTCAAAATCTATTCTCAATGAATATTTGCAGGCTATGGGGTATCGTTAAAATTTTCACTAATTTGATAGATCTTAGTCATTTCGGCGATTTATTTCTATCAGTAGCACCGTTAAAGAATAAAAGTCAGAATTGGACAATTGAATCCACAATAATATGGATGATATTGATATATAATAAGGTTAAAAAAATTTACAGTTAAAGAATATAAAAAGTGATCAAATAAGATAACTTCTTTTTCAATATAATCACCCTTTATTTTAATACATTTTTATATTTCTGTTGGCATTCTATCGACATTTGCAGCAGATATTTTCAAAATCTATTCTCAATGAATATTTGCAGGCTATGGGGGTATATGGTTGTTGATTTTTATCTATAGATGAATTATATGCACATATTGATTTATTAATTTATTAATTAATTATATGTTTAATAAGGTTAAAAAAATTTACAGTTAAAGAATATAAAAAGTGATCAAATAAGATAACTTCTTTTTCAATATAATCACCCTTTATTTTAATACATTTTTATATTTCTGTTGGCATTCTATCGACATTTGCAGCAGATATTTTCAAAATCTATTCTCAATGAATATTTGCAGGCTATGGGGGTATATGGTTGTTGATTTTTATCTATAGATGAATTATATGCACATATTGATTTATTAATTTATTAATTAATTATATGTAAAAATAAATATGTGATAAATCAATAAATAAAAGAAGGACTACGAGCCAATTAAAATTTAAAGAATATTTATATTTAATATTCGTACAAACGTTTCAATGCCGATCGGGTCATTTTCAATGTAAAAACAAATAATATTACGTAAGTTGTCGAAATATTCGGTCAGATTACAGTATCCAGTGAAAAGTATCGGTTGTTTCTGTATTCCCTGTTATTTGATGTGTGTGGTCCATATGTAAAATTAGCATCATTTGACTAAGTGACATAAAGTGATCTCATCTTATTTTTTAAAATCTACAATCTTACAAATAGTTTACATCAAAATAAAAATAATAAACTGACATTGCGTTACAATTAAAATTAAATTATATAATCAAGTACGTATATTTTATAGTAATTTAGTACCAATTAAGTTACATATATATATATATCTTGATTTATCGCAATGATGCGAGTCAAACGTTGAGAGAAAAACGCAAAATTAACTAAGTCGTACACAGTAGGCAAAAGTAAGCACTTCAAATAAGGATACACAAGTTTTTAATACAGTCCACTGATACACATAATTCACAAGTATCACATACAAATACTACTGCTAATGAAATGAGTGACGAACTAAAGCAAAAAATCGAGAGGAACAAGCAATTAGCTATTCAAAGAAGACTCCAAAGGCAGAAAGAGCGTGAGGAAGAAGTTAAGAGAACGAAGTTCAATGATACAAATGTAGAAACTCTAAACAAAAGCAATAATCTTACAATCCATGATGAGACGAATATATCCCAGGTAGACATTATACAAATCACAAATTAACGAAAATACAAATGAAGCAATTATTACTGAGACAATATTATCAAATGAAGAGCCAGTGAATGAAACAGACCATATTTGATTATAAAATAAAACTTTGCAGTAATCTAATATTTTGCTGTCCACAGAAGATATCGTATAAATACATTTATTATACAGTATAAAAATTATCTCATCTCGAGATATTATGTACTTAGAAGTAAGCCAAAATGTAGTTATATTTAGAGATATATGTAAAGATAAATTTTTTCAAATGCTTATTAAATAAACATTTAGTTTCTATTTATTTATATTTCACGATTAATTTCTACGTTTTTGTGTACTGATGTACAACACATTGTTCCCCCGTATAAAAGCATCCCCATATTTATCCTTTAATTGTCCGTTAACATACTCTTCCGTTTGTTCAAGTGCTATGTTCATGTAGCCATCTATACAAGCCAGTACACCTGCAAACAATACATAGTATCAGGATGTGGAATGTTTTGAAAGAAAAGTACTTTAAGGCCGATATTCATAGTTTATTCTTATTTCAAGACAATCTTAAGTAATACCTTAAGATGTTAATATGCGCAGCTCTCTAGTTCTCATAATTAATTCTTCTATTTAAGACCATCTTAAGTACAGTATTAAGATGTTATAAACCAATTAGTAGTCTGGTAAGTCAGTTTTGTACGACCCGAGTTGAATTCCGAACGGCAAATAGAAAAATTTCTACTCAGATCCAGCCTATGATTCATGACATCTTAAGATTGTACTTAAGATAGTCTTAATCAACTATGAATATTGGTCTAAGATCCAAAATAATAACCACTAATACATAGTAATATTCACTAATTACATTAAAACACATTCATTTGATAGATAAAAATAATTGACTCTAAGGCCCAGTTTCATTTAGTGCAGGAACAGAAAACAGACCATAGGTATTCGCATCCGCCATTTTTTTTAGTCCTTTCCCCATTCTTTGTTGTCTTTTCAACTTTCTTTTTTCTTCAATCTTCTCAGCTCAGTTCGGAGTGGAGAAAGAACAAGGGATTGAGGAAAGGAGCAAGAGAGTGAGGTGTAAGGCCGGAAGAAATCGAGCGTTCGTTCTGTCTCTCGGGAGCTGCTCAGGGTCGCTCCGAACGAACCCAGCGTACTTGAAATAAATGTAGGATTCACTACATACGACGTCCGTTATACCACGTCCGATATTAATCGTAATAATGAATATCGGATGTGGTATATTAAGAGTTAACCGTGAGTTGTGAAATTGGATCTTAGATATAATTTTTTACTTTTAATGTAGAAAACTTGCTAAACGTTACTACATATCAATGTTAAAAGTAAATATATATTAATATATGTTAACATTGTTAATAAATATCTACCTCTGTAATCGACACCGCTGTTCAGTTTTACAACAACAGGTCGTCCATGAATTTGTTGTATAAATTGAGATAATGCTTCCTTTCGACTCATCTGTCAATGCACAAAAATAATATTTAATATATCTTGAAGAAATATGCATTACAGAAAAATGAATAGTCGCATTTAAAGCACATTGTTTACATGGCGCGATGTTCAATAATTTTTTAAAGAACAAAACACAAGTACAATCGTCATAACTATTCTGCATACCTTCGTAAATAATACGAACAATTGATCTTTTCGTAAGTCGTCTAAACTCAAAACAATTTTAACCTCTCTTCGGAATTTGGATCATAACACCTGGCTCGTTCGGAGCGACTCCGAGCAGCTCCCGAGCAGTGGTGCAGGTCGGGCCGCGTTTCTGGCGCATGCGCGTCGAATGTCAGTATCGTACTCGTTACCAGTAAACGGGAATTCATTAGTCGTCTACGTAAAATTTGTTAAAAATTCTTAAAAATTATAATATATTTTATATATTTTACATATATTACTTACAAACAAATTCACATATATTAAAAATATGACTATTTGCATTTAATAATAAAATATTAGCTGAAGAATAAGAGAAAAGTGTAAAATAATTTATGAAACAGTTTTTTTATCTTAAAATATTTATTTGGCAGAATCTCGTACCAACATTTGTTACAAGGGTAAGAGAAATTGCCAAAAATCTTACAAGTATTCGTAAAATAAATAGATATTTCTTTTTTTTGAGCATACGAGAGGAAAATCTTCGCATAACACCTAATATTTAATTATACAATAAAAATAAAATTCGAACAAACATAAATATAAGAAAAATAAATATTTCACAAAATAATTATGTCACAAAAATTATTGCATTTTATATTATACTTTTAAATATAAAAATAAAAATTGTTAATTAATCATTTAAATATTGTGAAGTGTCTTTAAATTAACTTAAAATCTAAAAACAACATAAATGATTAATAATATTAATAGTAATAACATGCAATATATGATTAATAATAATAATAATAATCATGAAATAAAAATATATAAAATATATTATAATTTTTAAGAATTTTTTAACAAATTTTACATAGGCGACTAATGAACTCCCGTTTACTGGTAACGAGTACGATACTGACACTGCGTTCGACGCGCATGCGCCAGAAACGCGGCCCGACCTGCATCATTGCTTGGCACCATGGCACATAGGTAATAGACGCCAAGTCGGCAAAACAGATAATCAGCTTGCCGATTGAACATGATTGGTTCTTACCTGTAGATCCACTAGGGTCCAATCCAACTAATCACAATTATAAAGATTATATTCCACGCAAAGCGATATAAATTTTAAAATATATAAGATCAAAGGTGAAAAGAAGCATAAATTTTACCGTATTTCTAAATTTAATAAAAACCGAAACTTTTTATTTATATTTTGAGCATTATTAAGTATTAAAAAATGTTTCTTTTTTAATTTTTCGTAGTTTTGCGAATTTAAGCTGAAAAGCTTTATTGTTTTTATTAATATTTTAACAAAAAATAATTTATTAAGTCTGATCATGTTGTAGTATGAAAAAAGTAAAGGAAAAAGTAACAGATTGTTACCTTTTAAATAACTGTAGGTCATAGTTTTCGAAAGTAACTTTCCCATTCCTGATTATTATCTATTACATTATCTAATACATACAAATTATGGCATTACGGAATGATTAAAAACAATCGAAAAATGATAGAATCGTCAAACAATGTGTGAGATAAAATTAATATACCTACGTATTTTTTCTCAGGAATACCTTTGTGTCATCGATCAGATAAAATCATGCACACATAAAAAAGTGTATACATATATAAAAAACCATTATATGAATTATTCATAAGTGAGTGTAGATATTGGTTTGGGTATTTTAAGCTAAATGCATCATCATCCACAGTGTTGTATTGACTAATCCTTCACTGATTTAATTATACATAATATATGCGTCGTACACAAGCAATGAAAATGATGCATTTTAAAAAATTACAAATTATGTTGATTACTATAACTATCTTTGGTAATCAGCACCATCATTTTTTAAAAACGCTTATAAAAATAAATCTTATCTTATTATCTATTTATTATCTCTTATTTTATTATCATATTATTTATTTATTATTATTACGCCATATTTTATGTTTGTATAACTAATTATAATAATAATAATGAAAATTCTACTATGGCGTATAAAACGTACTAAGTGAAACGTACAAAACTCACTGTGCAGAAAATATAGTAATACACCCGATTAAAGATTAATAATTACAAAAAAAACGAGGAAATAACAAAAGAATTTCCAGTCGATATCATCATCAACCGGATTTGTAGTCCCGATGAACGCAAACGGATCTTGATATATCGTCACTATTATATTATAATCACGGAGTTACACAACGCGATTAGCGATAAATTACATCATTTGACGAGAATTCATTAGCGAAAAACTAATGAGAAACCGGTATTCCCGGCTAATAAAAACAGCATTAACTAATGCATAGATAGCTTTATTAAATAGCGAGGTAACATAACAAGCATTATGATTTACTTGATTGGTACTTATGATTCGTCATATTTATATAATTCTTATATTGAGAGATTTTAAAGTGACACAGGCCTGCAAAATTGGAGGTGTTGAAAGTTGATTGGGATTTAACAATGTTATCTTACGTAATTTTTTGCGCTGAATCCGAATCCGGCTGCAGAATTGCTCTATCACGTCAAAATTTCGAGATATCCTAACTTAAAACTGCCAAAAAAGCCGTTTTCAATCATATTTTAAATTAAATTAAAAATTAAGAAAATTTTTCTTTTTTCATTGAATTTTGAATAAGTATATAGTATCTCCGAAAGAAAAATCGCTTTGAGATGGTTAAAAATGGATTTTGAAGAGGCCATATAGTAGTAAATGATACCGTTGATGGATTTGACAACAAAAATTTTCTTAATTTTTAATTTAATTCAAAACATGGTTGAAAACGGCTTTATTGGCAGTTTTAAGTTAGAATATCTCGAAATTTTGACGTGATAGAGCATTTCTGCAGCCGGATACAGATTCAGTGCAAAAAATTATGTAAGAAAACATTATTAAATCCTAATCAACAAAACCATGCAGGCCTGTGTAATTTAAGATTCAATAAAGTTTCATTTGATTATACTTAGAAATAGAAACAGAACTCGAAAAAAAATATAATTTTTACAATTAAACGCGTAGTAATTAGCTAGTTTCTGAATTAAACAATGACATATTTAATGTATTATTAGATTCTTGATATTTTAAATAAGATGTTAATAAATTAAATTTTTCGATTGTTGAAAATAGTTAAACGGGAAAGTGGATATCACTCTAATTTGACATAAATTAAAGAGGTTTCATAAATCATTTAGAAATACGAAAATAAATATTCGACGTCATTTAAAAATTGATCTTAGCGTTAATTGCAGAAGACGTAAATACTTTTTCTCTGTTTGCGGGATTAGGAAACATCAATAAAGCACTCAGAAAAATGTTATATAATCTCATGGATTTATTTTAAACGTCACGTCACGTTTAACGATTTGGAAATAAATAAACCGTAGACCTTGAATTGTACTACGTTTATGTAAAAATAGATTTGTAATCACAGCTATGCATCTTCAGTCGTCGGGAAGATCTCTAGCACAGCAACAACCAATTTCCGAAATCAAGATGAAAGTTAAATACGAGATTTACGCTGGAATTTTACCAGCTTTAACGGAGTAAGTACCTTTACCGGTACTGTCTATGTTAGACGAGCTGCTGCTGTAAACTCCTTTGGCCCCTTCGACGGTACCGCTCTTACTCGCACCACCGTCATCAGTGTCACCAATACGGGAGAATAGACTACAAATGAAATCAAGCGGTTATCACAAAATTCATGTCTTTTATCAAGGAGTTTTAATATTTTGACTTGAAAGTTTCACATAATGAGTACTTTAAAATTTTTGGATAACAATCTCAGACATTTCTATTTTTTTTACACTTTCCTTACTTTTTAATAATTTCAATAATATTAGAATTTTTTTTATAGAAATAAGAGGACACATTTTTTAATGAAATTGAAAATCTCTTTAATATTGAAAATTTTGTATAAAATGTGTAAAGTTCTTAAAGAAACAGCGATTAGCATTCGCTGTTTGAGTCTTTGGAGTCTTAACTTATGTCTAATCAAGGTATATTTGTTCAATAAATTATCATGTTTTGCCGATTTCCATAATTAACCGTAGTTTGCGTATTATGGATATGACGAATAAAATATACAGAAATATTCGATTTTACAAGCAAGAAACTTGTTCACCTTGAAATCTATTCTACTGTTGGGAAAACGCGAATTATATATAGTATACCAAAAAATGATGTCATTACACGATTGCCAAATAATTATTTCTCTTGCAGTATTTTGGACTATCATGATACCGAGATATTAATCATAATAGTAGATTGTCAAATTAGAAAATTATATTTTTTCAATCTTTTAAAAAAATCGAGGCACTGATATAAGTCGTTTTCAAGTCATGGGTAACTGAGATTGAAAATAACTGAAATATTTTTTAAGTTTTAATATGTACTCGTATACATGTTTTTAGTAATACATACTCCACTCCCGGTCCGTGACCGCCAAGACCTCCGTGACCTCCATATCCTCCGCCACTTCCAGCACCGGCATTTGCGCTTGCACTAGCTTGAGCACTAGCTTTACCTCCATATCCGCCACCACCGCATGCTCCACTAGCACATCCACCTAGAACATATATGAGACACAATGATTAATTATTTTATCTTTATTGATTATCTCAAGTACCATTAAATTTTTATTCTAATCACCTCCATGTCCACCGCCCAATCCTCCACCACCACCTCCGTATCCACCACTTAAACCTCCTCCATGACCACCTAAGGATCCTCCATGTCCACCGCCAGAACCACCTCCAAGTCCTCCATGTCCACCTAATTCACCGGCACTAGTATTAGTAGACATACTAGAGTTCAATTTTTTAATATATCTTTTTCAAGATTACCATCATCTTCTGTTACTAAAATTTATATAGAATGTCTCAAAACTTGAAAAGATATGAAAATGTAGAATAATTCAAGTTTTTAGAATTATTGGAGAGACTATAAAAATAACAAAAGTATGTCGAAAATATAAATTTAGGAAACAAAGATATTTCATATATATTATATTTAAATCAGATTCATGGCATAAATAAGTTAAACATTTTTTTTAATGTTCACTTATGATCACCTCCGTAATTATCTACGTTAGAACCTACCTCCCAAACCATCGGTGCCATGATCACCTCCACCGTAGCCTCCGGTACCACTACCACCACCTCCGTAACTACCTGCACTACCGTGAGAACCAGCCCCGCCATAACCACCACCACCATCAGAACCACCACCATATCCTCCGTGACCACCACCACCACCATGTCCTCCGGAACCACTTCCTCCATAACTGCCAGCACCGGCACTACTTCCACCGTAGCCGCCGGCGCCAGACCCACCTCCACCATAACCACCTCCACTAATTTTGTCAATTCCACCTCCATCACCGTGACTATCTAAAAATGCGCATAAAAAGCTTTATATAAAAAAAAATAGCGTGTTGTAAAAAGATTTATATGCCAAAATGTTCTTAATAAATTGTGAGAAATTATTACTGTTGTTATAAAAAAAGCAAAAAATAAAAAACATTTGTTTTAAACTAGACAATTCTTTAAAATTACTTTTATTGTGTTATTTGATTAATTATACTTATTTCTATATTATTTTTAGGCTGCGTAAATTTTTTAGTGTAATATTTCTGAAACGTGCTATTCTATTAAAATGAAAAGAAGCGAAGCGTAACTATATTTAGATTATCACTATATATATATATTTTTTAAGTATTAATTTCTAGTTATTATTACACTATCTACACGTGTATATACACTCTATATACATATAAATTTTTTTGTTTGAACTTACCACCACCATAACCTCCGAGTCCTAAAACAAATTTTTTTAAATTTTAGCTTAAGTATTGATATATATTATACTTTTGTAAATTAAACATTTGAAGAAATATAATAAGAAAACTAATTATTCTTGATTAAACTGCTTAAAATTAATAAAAAGTTAATCACCATATCCACCGCCTTCGTGTCCACCGCCAATTCCACCTCCGTATCCACCGCCGCCTCCATGCCCTCCACCTCCGTGGCTGCCACCTCCGTACCCACCGCTGCCGCTGTGTCCACCTCCGAATCCACCACCGCCGCTTTCATATCCACCGTGTCCACCGCCACCTCCAAGTCCACCGTGTCCACCGCCACCTCCAAGTCCACCATGGCCACCTCCGAGTCCACCGCCACCTCCGAGTCCACCGCCACCTCCGTGACCGCCTCCATGACCACCGCCAATTCCACCATGTCCACCGCCACCCCCGAGTCCGCCGTGACCGCCTCCGTATCCACCTCCGCTACCATCTCCGAAACCACCATGGCCACCTGCTAGACTGCCATCGCCACCGTGTCCACTGCCACCGCCAAAGCCACCGTGTCCACCGCCACCCCCGTAACCACCGTGTCCACTGCCACCTCCGAGTCCACCGTGACCACCGCCATCACCGAGTCCACCACCACCGTGTCCACCACCACCGTATCCACCGCCGCCATGTCCACCGCCTCCGTATCCACCATCTGTCAAAGCCGAGGATTGTGCACCTGCCGAAGCACTGCCGGTAGCTTGAGAATTGGATTTGGAGAAACCGCTACCACCACCATACGAACTTGCGCTGGCTGAACTGCTAGCGCTACTGGAGGCGAAGCCTCCGCTATAACGCTTCGAACGCGGTAATTTTCCATATTCTGCACTAAATTCTGCAATAAAAGATTGTTTTTATATATCATCAAATTAAATTCAACTTAAAACAAAATGATTGAAAATGTAATTTTATATAAATCACAAATCCATTTATATAGAGAATTATATATGGTATAAAATGTTTTATATTTTCTTATAAAAAAAAAAAAATTCTCTTTTCACATTCACCTGGATCGCCAACTCCGAATGCTAATTCACGTACAATTGGTTCAGATCTGCTAACGGCATCAATCAATATATGGTCCCCTATTATGCAAACAAAAATGTACAATTGTTTTAAAACTTGTAAAAAATGAAAAAATGTACTAATTTAAGCAAAATGTTCGATGAACTGCTACACAGAGAGAAAAATGTTTGGTATTTGTAACTATAATTATATATTACTATAATTATGATTATTACTGCTATAATAATAATAACAGTAACTATATATATAGTTCCAGCAACAAATGTATATAATTGGCAACCTAAAATGACTATAATTATAGTTGTTGTAATCATAAAATAGTTGAAATTACCATAAAAATGGTTCAAGTGATTATAATTTTATAGTTATATTTTGGGACAACAATAAAAAATATGATTGTCCCAAAATATAACTATAAAATTAGTCATTTGAATCATTTTTATGATAATTTCAACTATTTTATGGTTACAACAACTATAATTATAGTCATTTTAGATTGCCAATTTTATATACATTTGTTGCTCGAACTATATATATAGTTACTGTTATTATTATTATAGCAGTAATAATCATAATTATAGTAATATATAATTATAGTTACAAATACCAAACATTTTTCTCT